TGTCCCTGCCCCCCGTGTCAGTGCGCCCCCGGAAGATGGAAGATTTCTAGATTTGCTTTGTGTAATTAAGCTTTTAATTAAAAAGGTGTGGAACAAACTTACCTGTTCTTGGAGAGCGGGGTCTGCCCACGGAAATGTGTGATAGATTCTCGCACAGCAAAAGTGGGTCTGCAGTTCCCCACCAGTCGGGTTTTCATGCCGTGCTACTTAGCTTTTTTTTTTTTTAAATAGAGGTTTTCTCCTTTGTGAGATCTGCTTGCCCTTTTTTTTTTTTTAAACGACAAGTAAAGATTAAAAATGGTGATTGGGACAAAATGATCAGGAAGTACAATCAGTATGAGACTAACAAAGCAGTCTCTTGTGGGTGACTTTTATCCACAAAATCTAGAGCCACATGTTGTTTTTCACACTTTCTCCGTGAGGTATTGAGTCCTTTTGCAGAGTTTACAGATGTGTCTGTATAAGACACAGAAAAGGAATGATAAAGGTAATAATAGTTCGGTGAAACTTTAGGAAAAGTCCAAATACCTGTTGGTTACCTGCTGCCCGTGACACAAATGTGAGAGCTGTCAGTGTAAGAGGGTACTCCTTCAGGTCTTCGATTTTTCATTTGCTCCTCTGAGAGTTGTTAATTGCTCATTCCCGTGTGCTCAGAGTGTCTCACATGTTCTTCCTCTGTTTCAAATGACTCTCTTGGTGATGAGTAAACTGTCAGTTGCGTCTGTGTCGTTTAGGTGCGTCCTGCGGTGACGATTTCGACTCCACGGCTATTGACCAGCCCGGGAACCCCTCAGTGCCAGCTGAACCCCACTTTTCTGCGGCTCACTGCGCCCAGAAGTGCCCTTCTGGCATGTCTGATATTTATACAACTGGGAAGTGATGATCACAAAACTGCTGATGAAAATATACAACATATAAGCTACCCATTGTCTAATTACACTTCTCTCCCAGAAAATTGTGCCTTTCAAGCAAAAAAAGGCCAAATTCTCGTTTACACCAGAAACAAATGCACCTGGAGTAAATCTAAGGCCCTCATTGGATGCACCGCTAGTTTACAGTGTGGCAGCAGAACTGAGTTTAGACCCTGAACTCACAGGCGATTCTAAACAATCTGACAATTACATCTTTGTTAAATTTGCTTTGGCATCGGAATTAAATCTTTATGTTACTTCTTGTGGTTATAGATGTACATTCCTATTACAGTAATTCATTATATTAATGCAGAATATCATATTTACCTTAATATACAAAAACACACAGCAAACCAGCTTTTGTTCCAAAATACTGTGCACCACACCCAAATTCCTACTGAAGTACAATAGATTTAAACCTTACTTTGCATGTAAATGTATGTTGGCATTTAACAGTAAATATTTGACACTTTTCTATTATCCAGTTGTTCTAAGTGAGTTTACAACCTTTGTTTGCAAGGTTATTTTATGCTGGTTGTGACGTTAAGGTGGTTCGGGTTGGTTAGCGGTATCTGCTCCAATAAGCTGTTTCAGAGTGTTTTTCCCAGTCCGACAGCTGAAGAGCGCAGTACAGGATGTGTGCGCTCAGCACTCCGCAAATATTGCAACTCCAGTATGAGAAAAGGACAGAATCCCAGACTGGTCAGGGGTGGAAGGGACCTCTGGAGATCATCCAGTCCAGCCCCCAGATTGGACAGGCACAAGAAGGTGCGGCTGATAAGCCCCTGGGCTCGCTGGTGCCTTGCTGCGCTCTCCCGTGGCCGCTGCATCCCAGAATAAATTGGGAGACTTCTGAGGCTGCGGCAGGATTTCACTGACGCAAAGGAGACAGGAAGACTTAGGGTGCCGTTGTGCTTCTGCATCTTCCTGCAGACGTAGCTGCGTACAGTCTCGCTGTAGTTTAGAAGTCACAAAATGAATGGTTGCAAATAAAAGGATGAATTTACGCCCCAGAGTAGGGTTGTGGTGCCGCCACACACGGAATGCAGGCAAGTGGCTGTGCCAGGAGAATGATCTCTGAGCATTAACTGTAGGTACTGCTTTAATTCTCAAACCAGGCAGAAAATTATTCTTGCCTGTTGTGAAGTAGGAATACATTAATTCTGGAGTTGGAAGAAAAGCCATTTAGCAGCAAAACGGCAGTGTCTGAGAGAAGGTCTATGACAAAGACTGGGCAGTGTTAGAACAGGTCCTTGACAGTCGTTCCTGATGGACCGAATCAAACGTGGAAGTTCAGATGAGAAAATCGAATTTTGTAAGAAGGAGAAGGAGAAAGCAGAGCTAGTGTGTGGAGAATTTAGAAAAGCAAGAAGGCAACTTTGTGATGAAGCCCAGTAGGATCGAAGCTGCTTAGTGTTTTTGTTCACAGAGATGCTACGCTCTTCTGTCCCATGCACAAACCCACACTTAATTTTGAGACCGTAGTATCTTTGTTAGTATCTTTGCCTGTCGATTTGCTATTGATTAGAGTTCCAAAGATGGGAAAACACTTTTACTCACCCATTGTTCATGGTGAGTCGAGGGAAACATACTAGGAATGAGCTTTTCTTCCTTTTCCACAGATGTGAGGAATCGCCCACACTTCTGTTGGTGGCTTTGTTATTTTACCATTTGGATGATTTAGATTCTTAAAGGTTACATGTATTTTGAAACCTTCCCGTACTCTGG